CACACCAGTGGTGTCCTAGCCCCAGGAGTGCATGGCTACGTGCTATCTCATAGTCCAGAGAGCAGCCTCTGTACATGCCCTGGGCTCTCTGCAGACACTGAACTCGATACCAAGAGCTGCCCCTTGGAAGAATCCCTTCTGGTCTTTGCGGCTTTGGATTAACCTGGTTTGGGATAAGAATGCCCCCGCTTATCCTGTTCTCAGGGGACACTGCCTCTTGCCACGAAACTGCCTTGTGCAATATCAAGTCTGCTTCAACATCCTTTCTCTCTCTCCACCATGGGACCTGTCCCCACTCAACTCTTGTCCCCACGTAACCCCTGCCCCCAGTAGCCCATACACATCTGTAATAGGCACCAGGTAGCTGGACCCTGGCAGAGCCAGCAGCAATACCCTGTCTCCCGACGGGTGCCAGGGCTTGCACCCAGCAGGATGTCTCGGATCAGCTCCTGGAGAGAAAACCGTGCCTGCCTTCATCTTTGCAGGAAAAATTTGGAAACTAGCTCACAAATGAAGGCAAGGCCCCATCAGAGAGCTGGCTACCCCAGCCGGGACTCACTGTCCAAGGCTTCTTCTGCCCTCTGCTTACGGACAAGTGGGCAGAGAATGCAGGAGAGCAATATCAGGGCTTTGCAATCTGCTCTGGCTGCCTGCTGGTCTCCACGTGGGATATGACACATTGCTGATGACAGAAAACCCTAGTTGTCCTGGCCTCCCCCATTCCTGCATCACTGTTGCTGTCAGAAGGGGAACCGGAGCTGGGTCAGTGCCTGCATGGCATTTGTCTGACATGAGAATTTGATCCTGGCCCAAGACAAGCCAAACTGAACATCAAAACGGTGAATTTCCACTGCACTGAAAAAATACAGCTTCAGCAAGAACCTGGGAGAACACCGCAAGTGTACATCTCCAAACAACGAGGGAGTAGAAACGAGTCCCTGCAGGCATTACTCAGAGTGGCTGGGTCCCTGGTGGGATGATTTGCTCAATACCGCCGAGATCACAGTGACTGCTGCAGTGTTGCTGGGGTCTCTCTGTATACTGTACAATTAACCAGTGCGGGAGGGAGCCTAGAGCTTTGGGCCGATGTCATTTCTTCTTTTACAACCTAAAGAGATGAGGGTGCAGCACACAAACCCCCCTTGCCGGGGACTGATGTCTTGCCATGCTCCACGAAACCACTCAGTGATGCACCAAGATCCTGACAAGGGACATATCTCCCTACATGTGAGGAGCTGCTGGAGCCCGAGGCACAGTCAGATGAGACTCCTCTAAGGCACCAGAGGAAACAAGCCTACGGACTAGCAATAAAACCCATCCTTTTATACACATCAGCACAGCTCTCTAGAACAATCCTAATGCAGCATTATTACTGGAGCCTCGCACTCATATCCTCGCTCCCAAGAAAACCTGCACCAGCAGTTAATAGACTCAGTCTCTTGAGCTCTTGATATGAAATTGCCATTCGCGGGATTCAATGTATTTGGGTGGAAACTTTTGGCAGTACGTCCACAGATAGCTTCCCTGTATTGTCAGCGAAGCGATAAGCCAGACTGTTTGACTCCAAAGGTGGAGGGCAAGAAGAAATAATCTGTTACACTTTATTCTACTATTCCATGACCAAAACAAATTCTGCAAAGACATAACTATTCTGGGAAGTTTCTGTCATTTCTCCCTTCATTACTGCTGTATGTCAGACTATAAAACTAGAAAATATTGTGAGTTATTTCTCCTAGGAAATTAAAATAGGCTGTTGAAGAAGTTCCTCACATTCCTGCTACCCCATGGGGAAAAAAGAACTGCTGGTTAAAAGGATATGCTTCATTACGCACCCTTGCAGGCTACTGCTACATGCGCATGAGCCTCGGGAGACCTCCGGAGCCAGAGGTCTGCTTGGGCTAGCATGTTCTCTATAGGACGGCAGTTGAGTCACAGCATGGAAAACTACCGTGGATGCTAACCAGGACAGAAATAAAACTATGCAGCGCTGTGAACATAATATTGCAACACTTCTGGCTTAATGACAGACAGGCTGCGACTGGCCGGTGGCATAAAATATAGACGGTGGATGTATGATGGTGCAGCACAAAAACTCCAGCTGTTGTACCCTGGCTTTGCTACAGCGTAGAGCAACATGACATGGGAGGGGATAGCACACCATGACTCACAGCTACAGAAGTGATCTCTATGCAAGAGCCCAGCCGTAAATACTTGCAGATCCTACTTTCCTCTCCCTCAGCCACTAAATAATGAGAATCTGCTAGATCTCCACTGGCCTGAAAAAGAAAAAGCCGGTCTTGAAAAGCTGGGCACCACCAACTGTTAGCCAAATCCCCTACTTTGTTTTGCAGAGGGGGAAGGCGAACCACGGAAAGGAAATCACTGCTCAAAGCAGACAGAAAACCAAAGACAGAGCTGGCAACAGAAGGACCGAAATGACACCCAAAGTGCATCCTGCTAGTTCAGGGCACTTAGGAGAAAGGCAGTGCCAAAGCTAACATCTGCCTTTTTCCATAAATAACTGAACCCACAGTGAGCTGCGAGACGGACCGTAGCTCCCACTGGAGATGGTGCCTTCTGCCAAAACCTGAAGTGCTCTGTAGTAACTTCTCATTTGGATGGGGACCAGCTTGGTTCCCCAGCTGAGGTGGAGATTTGCAGGAACAAACAACACTGTTACCTCCTGGCCCAGCCTCTGGATCAACAACAGTAGCTGCTTCATAACCTGGACATCTTGAAGACCACCTCCATCGGCTCAGAGTTAACACATGACACCGAGGAGTCACTACCAGGCAATGACAGGACAGTGATGACTTGTCAAGGTCAGTGCAATGGTAACAAATCCTTGTCCTCCCTTTCCTCTGGTTTCTATTTCCAAGGAGTCAGCTCCCACGTGTCTGCAATGTGACTTACAGCTAAGCTGTGGTGGGGAGGATGCAGCAAAAAGCAAGGACTTTGTCCTTTGGTAGCCACCTGGGCTTCTATCACAGCTGCTTCTGCTGACATATCATGCGTATTTGCAAAAATAAATTAAACCAAATTTGAGATGCGCCAGAAAGTCAGAGTTGCATAACAGCTTGTTTCCCACAGGCTTGGACGGCTGCTCAGAACGTTCATGGTCACATGGTAACTCCAAAATCACTGCCTCCTCTTTTTTGTTATTATTTTCATCAGCGAGTTAACCCTACACAGACTGAAGTGACCTGCTGCAGCTTCTACAGGCAGCAACATCTGAAAATACCGGCAGCTAACAGTCCACTGACACAGCAAAGCTTCTGCACAAACCCTGCAAAGCCACCCTGCCCAGAAAGCGTTTCCAAGACTACTATACCTCCATCAGCTTCCTGACCTCTGGAAGCAATTGCTTCCTCCAGTCACTTGTTACAAGGGTTTGAATATTTCTATAGGGTGCTCTCAGACATCACGGGTGATAGGTAGGAAGAGAGCAGCCACTTTTGGCCCGAAGGTCTGTGAAGGAGCAACGTCTCAGCTTTGGGGTCCTCTCCAGCAGATTTACAAGGCAGCGCAAGAAGGGTCTCTGTCACAGCTAAAGGTTACGGGGCCATCACCGGAAAGAAGGATATGAAAGTCAGTGGCAGTGGATTTTTAGATTATAAATTTGATAAAGAGGAGAAAATACTATCATTTCAGGTAAAGACACCCATATGTCAGGGGGAGAAGACAGACATGAGCAAAACTCTGAATGTGAAACTGATTGATCCATAAATAATGGAAATAATGGAAATGAAAAAATTGATAATGCTGGCCAAGACAGAAGGGGAGAGACTCATGTAGTAGCCCACTTATATTGGGTCCTGGAGCAAACAGTGGAACATTAACAGCCATTTAGGAAAGGTTTCCACTCAAGACTTGAGGACAGGCTACACTTCATGTCTGTACATCGTTACGTGGAGTATCAGGACTCAGTACTGTGGGCAGCCAGAGTTCTGGACCTCACCTTAATGCACTTCAGGAGCTCAAGGGCGGGTTAAGCTAGTTGTGGAGACATAGTCCAACCGTAACGAAGCAGGGGCCCTGGCACACACTCCAAACTCAGCTCTAATGCACGGCAGGATGCTCTTAATGCTCAGCTGATCAGCTCCCACTCTCTACAATATTCCTACTGCTCTGACACAATCTCTTGGTCACACCATGCTGCTGTCAGCTACAGTAGTGTGAAACTGCAGTTGTGCTGACATTGGTGGCTCTCAGCCTTATATGGGCTATAGGAGTAACCAAGAAGAGAACATGATCCCCTTCCTTGGAAAAAAAAAAAATACTAGTTTCACCTATTTTACAAAAAAGAAGAGGTTGGGCTTATTCTAGGGTTTACTCCAAGATGAGAAGGGATTTTGCACTGCTCAGACAGCAGGCATTCTTCGTCTCAGACGATACAAATACTCAGAATCAGAGCTCTGGTTGATTGAAGGACATGGGGTTTTGCTTGTGTAACCAGAAAAGCAAAAAAATTTCTGTACCTATGTGCAATACAACTCAAAAAGCCCATTTAAACCTGCCAGTCTTGTGTCCAGGCTGACAGGTGACACTGGAAGGGAGATTCAGATGTGGTATAAGTCCAGGTTATATGAAGAGACTGATATTTCCATGATTAAACTTGGGCTGAATTTGGCCTCCTTTCCACAGAGCACCATTTCATTCTTCAGGTCAATATGTGAACTGACAGTGCTCCAATATCCTTTGTTAACCCCCCTACGGTATGTGTAAGCTGTGCCTTTACATATAATAATCGACACCTCTGAACACTGTAAGGACACTTATTTATAGCCCTTGCAGTAGCTCAGCTTTAGGCAGGCTCTCGCTGCCTGTCAGGAGCCTGCAGTTCAGAAATGCTTTTTGCAACAAGCTCTCCCAGCCTCACTAGAAAGCTGATGTTTTCTCTCTTTACACATCAAGCCGGCTGACGCCGGGATCTGCCAAGTGACCTCAATTCAGGGAGGAAGCGGAGGAGGAGGAGGAGGAGGTTCTCAGCTATCACTTACCACAGGCTCAATGGTGAAGATATCATCAGAGAAAAGCATGGAGTCTCCTTGCACCTTTGCCCTCTGGTTCTGGAAGGTGCGGGAGAGAAGGGAAAGGCGTTCTCGGAGAGTGGGGTCCACCGTGCACTCCTTGAGAAAATAATCCATCTCGTCCTCTTCCTGCCTCTGCAGCCTGCGACACAGCCTGCAGCCATGGGGAGAGACAAACCAAGCAGATAATTTAATATGGAACATATTTGCAGAGACTGTTGTTTAAGTGCAGGGGCAGCAGCGCGCTCGGGGAGGAACAGCAGCAGCTCAGCAAGGGGCTGACCCCGAGCCACGGGGTCCCAGATTATCACTTGTTGTTCGCTGGCATGGCAGGTAGTTTTACTCCATGCTTATAAGCTAAGAAGAGGTTTTCTGAAAGCTAGCGGCCCCTCAGGAGAGCAACCTGGCTCAAAGCCACCGCCACAACTGATGGAGACCCCACCAACAACCTCAAATGGCTTTTCCTACCATAGAGCTGCTCGTGGAAGGCAGATAAAGATCAAGGAGCACCCACTGCGGCGCTTCACTGGGAAGGGGAGAAGCAGCTGGGTGTCAGCTGCAGGTTACTAGCATCACTCTTTTTTCTTCCCTTTTGGACCTGCAGGGATAAGCAAACAATATCTGCTCTCTGTTCTCTATACTGCCTTCTGCCAGAGGATCCCAGAGCGCTTTAAAAGCAAACTAATAAATTCAGGCATCATGTCACCTCAGTGAAATTAATGGGTTTATATGCATGAAAACAGAGGCCCTGAGAGAGGAAGGGACTTTGTCTAGCATCACCCAATAAAGAAGTCGGGACCAGCACCTCTGAATCCAAACCCTTAAGCCTAACCTTGAACCACCTTATCTTTTTCCTTTTTGGCCTTCTCTGCAGAGCTTTGACACAGTTAATCTCTCCTTTACTTGGTAGTTGTAGCAGAAATCATTCTAGTGTTTAAAGATCACAACCAAGAGACGAGAAGGGAGCACTGCTACAGAGCACTTGCTTCCTAGCTGGCATATTGCTGTCCCCCCTTCACACTCCAGTCCCCTGGCCATGAAGAACCAGCAGGTGACAACTCGGGGGGGATGAGCAGAAGGCTCCATATGCAGCAAATCGAGGCAATGTAGTATTAAACAGGATAGCGATCACCACCCAGCCGAATTCAAATACAATTAGAAAGGAAATACAGTCATGGACGTTACTAGCTGCACACAGACAGAGCCTCGGGCAAATGCTGTCTCACCAGCGCCAAAAATACTTGCTTAGGCTAGCTCCCCATGGAGCGCAATAGGAAATCTTTCTCCATGGCTGACCTACAATGCTGTGTGGTAGGGGGGCTTCCAGCCACTGAGATGAGCAACCCTCAACTCAACCTCCATCAACAGACAATAATTCCACCATTACATCCCAGAAAATCCTGCAGGAAGGAGACAGAGCAAACCCCTGGACAGACCTTCCAACAATTCAGGTCTTTTTGGGTCACATCCCAGTGCAGGGTCCTTTCATTGCCTTCTCCCATGAAAAATTCCTCCCTGCTCCAAGACCTCAAAAGCTTCTCTGACAGCAGGACAGCGGCCTTGGAGCTATAACCATCCCTAAGTTTGCAAGTAAGGAAGAACAAAACGTCCTGATCGGTGTCTAGGACACAAACTGGCACGAGATCAAATGTAATTGGAAAAAAATCAGGTTGAAGTCTACTGCAGGGAAACCTGGTTGCTTCTGAGGGGAAAGAGGCTCACTCAGGGTCCAGTCTGAGACAGGCAGGTGGGAAGAGATGGTAAAGGAATGGTCCAGGGAAGTACCAAGAGAAGGTCATGAGATTTTCTTTTAACACACTGAGCTTGCACAGAAGTCATACACTGTATAATTAAAAATAGAGAGCGGTGGAAAACTAGTTTTGGCCTTCAAGGCATTTCTGACCTAATTACGTTGAACTTTATTTGCTCATAAGCCCTTAAAAAGTGCTCCAGTTTAAGGCAGTTTCCTGATCAGCTATGGGTTTGGACTAACTACTATATACCTACATCCATCCAAGTCTGAAAAGTCACACAAGGATTCCCTAAATCACCTAAGCTTTTAAGTGTAATTTCCAATTCTCCCCCTCCGGGCTCTAAGTGCTGCTGCCTGAAACGGGAATTTCAAAGCTTCACCAGACACCCTTTGAAGATCCTCTGCCCCATCTCTCACCACCATGAAGACACAGGTTGCTGAAGCCCAAACGCACCTCCAGGTCCTGTGCTGCCCTACCTTCCCTGCAGAACCCTCCACCTCCAAACTCTCCCCAGCCTCTAAGGAACGGCAGAAATACCTTGTTGTGCTGGAAACCAGGACAGTGCAAGGCAATTCAACACCCTACAGCAGGGTGGCCTCAACTTTCTGGGCTGATGAAGCGTTCTACCCTGCACATTGCTGGAAGAGGAGCCTGCCATCTTATCAAAGCTGGAGTGGAAGAAACTGCAGTGACTATCATAATAGTTACATTACCTGCATTAAGTCCCAGGCAACGAGTGCTGACACTTTCCTCAGCCTCATGGACCCTGTGTAGCCCCGGGATCTCTGGACCTCAGTGGTTTGTGCTCCCACAAAACACGAATTTGCTATCCCGTCATTGCAATCGACCTTTCCTCCCCAGAACATCATCCTCAGCTGGAGTATGGGTGGCACTGGAATGGGAAGTGCTGAGCTCCATTACCCTGAAGCTCAGTGACACATGCCCTGACACTGTGGGTGGTTTACTTGTCCTAAAGCATTCAAAAGCACCAAGATCCCTCTGAGGCCATACGTTAGTTTCACCCTTGGGCAGTGTATCTTACTGAAATGAATCTTTCAAACGAACCTCAGCTTCTGCTGATCCTCCTCTTCCTGAGTAACAAAAGCCTTCCACTGGTAGTGGGCTATGATTTCACTTCGATTGTGGATGACCACGGATCTGTGGTTTGACAGCGTGAGGTAAGTCTTCTCAACTGTCAAGGAGTTCCTGTCTAGCCTGATGTTGACATCTACAGCTGCTCCGTAAAGGCTTGTGTGAATATCTTCACCTGGAACAAAGCAAAGGGGAGTCTTTGCTCAGCTCACTTGCTGATGGAAGTACAAGGAACAGAGCAAACCACAGGTAACAGAAGAAAGCGTTACAGCTTTTAGCTGCATTAGCAGTTCCACGGATCAGTACATTTATCACACCCTGATAGCTGTGTGTGCACAGCATGAGGATGTCCTGGACACCACCTTAAGCACCTTATTTCTGGGTGTGTTTGTAGAGCTTCATCCCCAAGGTGACAGTATTTACAGTGAGGTTTTTCAGATGTGCCCAGGTGGCCTTTGGGTTGCCATCCCACTCAGGTCAAAGGGAATTCTGCATCGAAGTCATTCAGGCGACTCTGAGGAGTCCCACCTCAGTCACAGCTTGCCCAGGGTCTCCTGCAGGCACACCACCAGCGTTGTGTCTCTCCTGATCCCTTGCTGCTGACAAGCAAAGATGCCAGGAGGCATGCGGGCAGAAAAGGAAGGTTCAGAGGAACAAGTGAAGTGACAGCCCACGGCAGGATGGGATGCAGAAGAGAACTTCACTGTGTTGTAGAAGCAGTGCCCTCACTTGCTGGGGGTTTGTGAAGACAAGTCAATATGAGACTGGTGGGGCATGGCCCACACCAACCTGCCTACTATAGTCCTGCAAGCCCATTTTTTCAGCCTGCATCCTGTTGCCTATGCCTGAGCATGCAAGTCTACACTGAGTATTCCCAAGCTATTCAACTACCAGAGCGAGGACATCTTTGCTTTCCACCTCAGACCGAGCTGAAGAGGAGAGAGCCCCTGGCTGTGCACATCAACTGATTAACGATTGGAGTCTTGCTGGAGCACCTGCCAGCATTGCACCCTCCAGAACAGACTCCCACCAAAGGCTCCCTCATTTCCAGAGCTTTCAAACCTTCATTCTTCCCAACCAAGTAACTCCTGGGAGTCAACCGAGCTCAAACTTCAGTACCAAGCCCACTCTTCCTGTTGTGGGCGAGTGTTTCCCAGGTGAGATGCAAACAGCGAACGTCAGACACGCTCTCTAGAAACGGCGTTTCTATGGAGTGGCGCTTAAAGCCTCAGAGCCAGCCCCAACCGACAAGTGCAGCAACCCGGCCATATCCTGGAGAGCATCCCTCTGCAAAGGCAGAGCCTTCTCCTCACTGCACAGGTTACAGCAAGGCAGCCAGTGGATGGACCTGCCTCTAAAAGGCTACCATGCAACAACACAACTAGAGAGCTGGATGTGTGCTGGATGGACTCCTTAAATCCTAAGCCAGGCAACACAGCAGAATCACATTCGTTCTGGGAAGGGGGCTGGGGAATGAAGCAAGACTCACCCTTAAAACAGCAGATCTCTACAGTCATTCATTCATCTCCACACATGGAGAATTCAGCCTTTATGCCTGTATAACCCTCAATTTCTTTGCTCTTAAGGGAGTCTGGAGGGGTAGGGATTTGTGGCCAGAGATGAGTTAGATTGCGAGAAAAACAGCAACGTTTCCAATGACTGGACAATCTCCTTCTTATAATGGACAATTAAGCATATAAAAATAATTGAAGTTCAGAAGAGTTACAGAGGCGGGTACGCTTTATAAGCATTACCTTTCCCCTCCACTGAATCCTCGGCATACATTGGCAAGCAGAGGAGCCAGGACCCAAGATGGGAAACACGCACAGTGCTTCGAGCGTGCACAACTTGGGTTTATGGAAACACGAGCTCATGCTCTACAATGATCAAGACGACAAACTACTACAAAATAAACACCATGAAAGCTATCATCATCTCACTGTCGAAACCCATGGCCACGTGGGTCTTGAAATATTGGGTATAGTTCTGATCTCAAAAAACAAGCTGAAGCATTTGAAATTAAACAGAGACGGGCAGAAAATACAATTAGAAGTATGGAGCAGCTTCTATATGAAGACTGAATAGGATTCCTCAACCTAGAAATCATATGGGAGATAAATGGGAGAGGTTTGTAAAAGCATGAATGGCCTGGGAAATGTGAATAAGGAAAAATTTGTCATGATTTGTCATAAAACAGGAACCCGAGGGCCTGAAATAATGTTATTAGTCAGAAATTACACAAAAGTAGTAGTACTTTTCCAGGGAATATTCCTTCCTTTGGAACATGCTGCCATAGGAGGTTGTAGAGGCTAACAGCTATAAATCCAGAGAGCAACTGGACAAATTCTTGGAGGATAAAAACCGTCAGAAGCTATTAAAAAACGATGAGAATAAAGCCTCCAGCACAGAAAACTGCTAACTGCAGAGCCCACGGGGGAGAAAAAGCATATGCACTGCCTGTTTGTACATGCTTTGCTAAACATCCCCTATTGCTGCTCTCCTGGACAGGAGCTGGGGACGCAGCCACCCTTATGCTCCTGGCTGCAAGCACCGAGGACTCTTTTGAAGGCTGGAGGGTTTGCCAGAGCACCTTCTACCACAATGAGAAGTATTTGGCATCGTGCTGAATGTATAAACCCAGAAATCGCTCGGTACAGTAGAGCATGCACAGATGCCAGCGAGTCAGGAGGAAGCCGCAGATCTGTCTGCCAGGCAGATGAACTGACACGGAGAGCAGAGCTGTCAGGGTTGGCCAAGGGCAGCTGCAGACTTCATGTCTTGGGTGCCAAATTAGATGTGACATTTCATTTAAGACTCTTGGGTTGTTTAATACATAAGTTTAAAAAAAATAAATCTCTGTACTGTAACAGCGATGTAGCATTAGGCATTGCACTTGACGGGGTAATGTCCATGGCGTGTAGTTTGGGATGCTTTGCTGCCATGAAAGCACGTTTACTGACTTTAGATGTATCTGCCCTATCATTATTTACACAACACGATCTTATTACAGGCTGTCAATTCTCGCATTCGTACATGCTTTTGATACATTTCCTACAGACGGCAGGACACAGCTCTCACTCTGCAACCCAAACGAAGCAATGCCTGAACTTGAAATTAAAAGCTAGACTAAAAGCTAGCTTCTTTTTTTTTATACAGCAGTAGAGCAGATGCTTTGGGTTGTGCACTCCTGAACGATGCTCTTTGACACAGCAGAAACACCGCTGTATTTTATTCCAGCATCCATCTGCATGACTATGGACACAGGTATCTTGGCACATCATAACTTTTCAGTATCTTGAAGTAAGAAATCTAGCATTGGGTCATCCTCTGTGGGGCCTGTTGTGCAGGAAAAAAAAAGAAAAAGAGGGAATTTACAGAAGAGCTAAAACATCTTTCTGAATTCTTCTAGCACTACATGATCATCCTGGTGCAAGAGGGAATAGTTTTCAGAGCAGTACAAATTGTTCTTAAATAGAAAGACAAATTTTATTTAGCCTGAAAGTATAGCTCAATGAATGGATGAGCAAACCCTCGAGCAAGATTTCAAAACAAATTTCAGGTTTTATGAAGAACGCTTTCCTAGTATTCACCAGCTAGCACTTTCCTTCATTGATTACTGCTCTAAACATTAGGAAGCTGGTAGGCAGATTGATTAGACTGAATAGAAACAAAACAGCACCCTGCTGCACCTCGTCTTCACTGAGACATATTCTTCCTTTATCCCTGTCACTCCCTCTTTGCTGAATTTGGATTTTAAATCTTTTTAGGAGCGCATGACAGTCAAATTTGGAGTATTTGGGTAGCATGGAAAGCAAGTTTAATTTCATTTGTCAGAAGACTGTGCCTTGCTCTCATCTCTTCTATGAACGCAGCTGAAGAGAGACAGGTCCTGCTGCTTTTTCACTGAAAATACAAGCAAGCGATGAAAGTAGAGCTCTTCACTCAGAAGGGTGTTATTGTACCTCCATACCAATCTGCAATAAGTAATTCTTTTGCTCCTGCTATATCACAGCCAACTGCCTCACCGCTGCCGGCATATTCTTGTTTTTCAAACAGCATGCAAAGGACTGCTATTACCACTTCACCACCGGAGAAGCGAGTCACTTCACCAGGCTAAGTGATCTCTGGAAAGCTAGAGAAGTCACCTACAGCTGGATCCAGCCCTCCCCACCATATGCTTTTTGCTGCGTCTCCCGCAGAGCTACCACTAGATCAGAGTCAGGAGCATTGCCCTGAGCTGTTTGGCTGTCAGGAAGCTAGTGGCATCACCTACAAGGTGCACTGGTCTCCGCCGGCCTGAGAAAGGCCATCTGTCAGCCCCCACGCTTGTATTTCCAGCACTAGAGCAAAACGCAGAGCAGCGACAGTCATTTTTAAGTGTTTCTCCGAGGCAGTGTTCACAAGCTACCTTCAGACACTTAAATCATCGTGTTATTTACTCCAGCCCTAAGAGCAGCTTGTTTATAAACCTCACCACTAAATAACTGCTGCTGCTAACACGGGTGTTTCTAAAGAATCATTCCCAGGCTACAACAAAGCTTGGAGCATCCTAATCATTACTGTTGCCACTGTTATTGCTGTTAATGGCCAGAAGTCCTTGGCACTGCCCAGGCCTCAGCAAAGCACCCACTGAGCCCATGCAGCACACCGCAAGGAGAGGGTCTCGACCCCAAAGACATTGCAAGGAACCGTAAGACAACAGATGGGGATGAACAGGGAGGTGGAAAGCAACAACCAGCCAGCAGTGGTCTACAGAACAGGCTGCAGGCTCTTCAGATGGCTCTCTTGCACATTAAAAGTCATCTCATTGTCAATCAAATCAGCTCCTCGTTGTGCATCCATCTGTAATGGAGCACCCAAAGTATTCCCCGTTACCTTCTCTGCACCGTGCTTAGGAAGATCTGTTTGCCTTGTTATAGGATGAAATACGCCGGCACAGGAATATCTGGGAGCCGGCACGGAGGCTTTGTTCTGCCCAGCGTGAAGGAGCCTCGCAGAACGTATTGAAAAGGACAATGAAACCGTCGGATGATGAAAGACAGCGCTGCCGCATATCCAGGATGCCACGGGCTATTTTTAATCATTATTGCTACTACAGTAATGATACGCTGGGGTACCTGACTGGCTGAAACATTGCTTTTGGCCCACGGGGAAAACAGTGCAGGAACTTTCATT